CTCTGTCCACGCTCCCTCCGACTCACCCTGCACGTTCAGCACCCTCTCCACGCTGACCTCCGACATCCTCTTCTTGCGCAGCTCGGCCCGGATGCGGAACACCTGGTCGGCGTACGGCGACACCACCCCGATGCTCCCCTCGTCCAGCTTCCCCCAGGCCACGGGCCACTTCCTCCTCAGCTCCTCCACGCGCTCCACGATCTCGAACACCTGGGGAAAGAGGGGCGTGAGACCGTGCCGGGACACACGCCGCACCCGCACTGCCACGCTGCTCAGAGTTCAGCATAAAGGCCACAACCAAAGTCCCAGTAATAATTTCAAGGGCCCGTTTTTTCAGGTTGGCATCCATTTAAGTCTCTCGCAAGTGTTTTATAGTGAGCCTTGCTGATTTTTGAGCAAACTGATTAACATCGCGGGTTAAGACGACTCAACTGCAGCTTTTATTCACGGAAATGTTAATACCATAAGCCTGACAACTTCACACAGAAACAGCCATGATGACTTTATAAAACGAAAAAAAAAATGAATGATCATTGACTTATATTAATATGTAATAGGAGAAGAAAGGAAACAATGTTTCGGCCGTGGAGCCTTCTTCAGGTGTCCCTTTGCAGCCTACGCATGCTGACGCAGCTGCCCACCTGCACTACTTATATTAATATGTACACCAGAGCATCGCATGGTGAAAACATCTTTGCCTTATTAATGATCTGGCTCTTTTTTTATTAATTATACATTATATGCGCTACGTGCCCAATAACACAAGAGGTGATCTAATTCGGCACAGGCACGGCTTTATTGGCTTATTAGAGGTCACACTGCACAAGGCTGAGTATTACATTACTGGTCATCAGTCCCTCCCAAAGTGACTCTTGGCTGAGGATTGCTTGAGCCCTCTGGGCAGAGGATTTCTGCACTGTTAATACAGGCATGGCTCTGGCCCCTGTTGTTCTGATCACTGCGTGCGGCTGATCCTTTTGCCAGCAATCCTTATAAACCGAGTGAACGTAATCTTGTGCACGCAACCTAAAAGCAGCAAAACGGAAGCAGAACAAAGTAAAGATATCAATGACGCTGGGAATTAAAACCAGCAGAGTGCTGCTAATTCTTTGGGAGAGTGCGAAAGCATTTAAATATGCACCTCATTTTTCTGCTTGCAGAACTGCACCTCCTGGGGTAAATTGGTCCGTTTCCAGCTAAGAAACCTCCTTATTAAGGGTTCTTTTCCAGCAGGGAGCAGGCTAGCAATCGCTACCAACACTGCTGTAAAAATAAAGAGAGATGGAGCCTTCTGGAAGTCTGCAGTGCTGCCGAGAACTAGAGACGATTCAAAATCTCCCTTTCGATCACACGTGGCAAGGGACACAGATGTTAATAACCTCTGCTATCACTTCTCGGTGGTGTCCTGTCATCAGTAACTTGTTTCTGGCCCCCTCATCACCCGCACTGTGCGTCTAGCCTTGGGCGAGTAATAACTCACATTTCAGTCAATAACGCCTGTAATAGAGTCTGCTCTGATAACGCAGTAGACCTCTGTAACCCGGTGTCCGTACACCTTTAGAAAGCGCTGGTGTGGATACAGTAATGAAAAACAACATGGGCTCTCCCTTCTCCCCGACTCTGTGTAGTTTTTCAGCCGCAGGGATCACCAGGCCCTGTGCCTCCAGCTGCTCTCGTCTGCCCCGGATCCAATCACTCAGAGTCCCCTCAACGGAGGAGCTGCACAGCAGGCTAACGTTGGGACAAGATCACCGCCGCCGACATTATTTTCATTGCATTAACAAAAATGGGATGAACCATCTGGACCAGTGCTCCTTAACCTGGGGTGCACACACCCCCTCTGGGGATGCGAGATGACCTTTCCGGGGGGTGTGAGACAGGCCAGATTCTCTTAGAAGGTTTCATCACCCAAAGCAAAACATTAAACACAGGCACGCGAAAGTACCTTCGCTTCGTTTCATTAAACCTCTGCATTTTCTATACTCTTTTCCCTTAATTTTTGAAGTACTCTTTAATTTTACTGCGAAACATATTCTATATCTATTTCAGTCTCTTTCATTCTGCTGTTAAACATTAGGTGTAGAGACCTGACCTACTTCAATCATTTTTGATAAAGGGAGCAAAAACGAATCTTGAGATCCAAGGTGGTGAGCACTGCAGTCAAGGTTAAGAACAACTTTCTCTGGACCAAGGTAGAAGTCTAAAATTTCACTTTCCCTATTAGTACGTATTTAATCTCTAATTTTCTCGTCCCTCCAGTGGAAGGATTCTCAACTGTTCGGGATATTTCGACCACCTTCTTCTCCGCATTAGCGATGCAAGACTAACGCAGAACAGCTGCAGCCCGAGCGTAGATGCCTACTGTCAAGACAAGGCAGCTGACCTTTCTTCTCCAGTGTGAATCCAAGATTATTCAAGGGGAAAAAGAACAGATAGGCTTTCCTGCAATTGTCATCCCTCATGGGGGGGGGGGGATTAAATACATTTCCTGACAAGTAACCTCATATTAGAGGAATGCTGCTCAAAAAGCAAGCAGGCTAAAGCGAAGGCAGTGATCTGATTATCTGGTTTCCAACTAGGAGAAGCCATTGCTGAATCTTAACACAGCTCTGTGTAACAGCAGGCAATCACCTTGCATTTTGTGAAGCATTAAAGATAGGCGCTGGGAGCAAAATAAAACAATGTAGAGGGATTCCTAGTGCGTTAATACTCGCCAATAAAACAGAGCAGGGGGCTTTTGTAGATGGGAAATCTGTTAAATATATTGAACCCCATGCCCCTGGAGCATGATCCTGGCATTTCAGTAAAAAGACTTGTAGCAATGGTGCATGATGCTGGCTTCTTTAAATACACAACGGCTTAATTTGAGACCCAAGAAAAGTGTATAATTGTCTCAATGACTTCAACTAGGGCAGCACAGCGATTAGCACTGCTGCCTCGCAGTGCTGGGGCCCCGGGTTCAATGCCTAGGGTGCTGCCTGTTGGGAATTGAAATGTTCCCCCCGTGTTTGCATGGGTTGCCCCAGGTGCCCCAGTTTCCTCCTCCCACAGTCCAAAGGTTAACTGGCGTCTGGAACAAAAACCGGCACTGGTGTGAGTGTGTGGAAGTCTGTGTCTGTGTGTGTCCTGTGAAAGACTGGTGTCCCACCCGGGGGTGTACCCTGCCTTGCACCCGGCGCTTGCTGGGATAGGCTCCGGCTTCCCCACGACCCCGAGTATGATAGAAGATAAAACGGAGGATGGTGAATGACAACAGCTGTGTAACCGAGAGCTTCGGCTGGGCGACAAGCCGGAAGAGGCACCTCGGCGTTGTTGTAGTAAGCGGTGCTGTTCTTCTCCTGCACGTCCTCCCCGCGGGCGGTGAAGAAGGTCAGAGGGTAGAAGTCCTTGTGGGCAGGCTGCTTCCCGCTGGCCATCAGCTTCCCCTCGTAGAACAGCTCCGACGTGTAGCTGCAGGCGGGAAGACAAGCCGGCGCTTAGAGCCCACAGCCCCCTCTATCGCAGCCCCCCAAACATCACTTCACAAAAAAACACGCACATCCTCCCCTGATTTAGGATTTCAAAACCCATAACTTGAGCTTCAGTCTAACTTGAAGAATTTGGGGGGTGATTTGATATTTGGTCGAGGCTTGACGTCTGACCCACATGTGAAACAGTTAACACATCTTTCTTCGACCTCAGAAACATCGCGACCTCCTATGCTGTCACTAACTGTTGCTGAAAAGCTGGTCAACACTTTAGTCTTTTCCCAAATTGACTCCTGTAACACCCAATACTCACTTTGGTATCTAAATCTTCGATGAACAAACTAAAGTTTGTCCTGGATCCTGACCAGGTCTAGTGCAAGTGATCACATGACTCCTGTCCTGGAGTCCATGCACTGGCTTCCTGTCAGGTTTCATGCCAACTTCCTCATGCTCACCTATAATGCTCTGCATGGCTCAGCAGCTCAGTACCTGTCTGAGCTACTCTCACCCTACTCCCCACCTCGCAGCCTTTGCTCCTCAAATTCTGGTCTGGTCTGTCCCCCAAACTCATCTACACTCTGGGGGGTGACAGGGATTCTCCTGCTACGCCCCACAGCTCTGGAACTCTATCCCCAAGGATATCAGGGACTCACCGTCCCTGAGCTGTTTCAAATGGAGATTTAAAACCTTTTCAGAAGGACTTCTACTTAACTGGTTCCATGTGCCCCTTTGCTGCTCCTACTTTATTCAGTATCCCCTTCGACTTCCACCTCTCATTTGTATATTCACTGCTTATTTTTTTATGTATTTTTCTTTTGTTTTGTTGTACTTTAAAGCACTTTGAGAAGCCACTTTTAAATTTTTATTATAATAAATAGATTTTGACACAGACCAGTTCTGATTCTCGAAGAATGGAGCTCTATAAGTCAGGTTACCTCAACCGGGTTAAGAGAGGTAGAAAAAGAGTTGAGTGCAATTATGATTTTTTTTTTTCCTCAAGCCTGAAGAGACTGATCATTAAAACAACAAGACCAAGAAAGGGTGCTGTACATGCTGTACAGTTGTCTTCAGGAAGGGGATCAAGAACTCCTCGTAGAGGCTGTATAAACGACATTTCCAGGTGAAGGCTCATGAATCTTGGACAATTAGGAGCACATCCACATCGAAGACACGAGCATGTGGCGAAGACCTGCCTGCACTGGGTGAGACACCAGGCCAGGTGAGGACACCTGCAAATGGTCCAACCCATCAGGCAGCTCAAGTCCATTTCAGGGGCAAATTAAAGGAATGAGCCTCCCAGGCTCACTAGGTTTTTGTTAGGGTCTTTGCACCCGGCTTTGGCAGCTGCTCCTATCGGGAACAGAGATCTCAGCGGTACAGGTGAAGAAAGCAATACTGCGAGGACAGCTGGCTTCTTCTTCCTTGTCCACTGTTCCAAACAAGGACGGCCGGACTCTCACCCTCTACTTCTGCTCAACAGGAGCTCCAGTCTCAGCCTCTCCCTGCTGCCCTCTCACCTGACCTGACTGCAGCTAAACTGGAGCTTCACTAGGAGGCTCCTCATTCTCTCCTGGGTCACTGGGTCCTGTCCACCGGGACACTCCTCACGCTGAGCACCGGCTGGGCCCAGGGTGCCAGTCCTTCCTGGAAAAGCACGCGTCTGACGTCGCTGCCCGAGATTATTTTGGGGGATTCTTTGGCAGAAACTCAAACAGGGGGTACTGCTTATTATGGGAGGGGATGAGGAATATTATAATAACACAAGATTTCTTCCGTTTCTGAAAAATCCACAGCTCTTTTTCAAGGTCTGCTCTGACTCACTGTTTGCACCGCGTTAGATATGATGCTTTCAAAAAAAGAAAATACTGGAAGAAACAAGTGCTCTCAAAGCAAATGTAACAAGACCTTTGGACCATCTCTTTATCCACCCATCGCCTCTCCTATCTTTTGATTTCTTTCTTCTTGGGGAACAGCTAGCACCCGTTACACCCCAGTAGGAAATAAGACTGCGGACGTGTGCTTTAATCTAAATGCAGGAAAAAAACAGGTTGCTCCATAACAGATATGCAGATTTTATGTAAAAAATGAAGACAAACAGATGCTCTACATTCCACAGAGGAGAATGCATCATGAAAGTCTCATATTTATTACTACCAAATACTTCAGCAAACAAATCAAGGTCCCTCAGGTGAACTTATTCCAGAAGAGTTAAAAAAAAAACTACACGTAAACGCAGCTATCAACAAGTCCTACAACGAGCAACTGCAGCCTGGGTTTCAGGGAGTTAGTCTGTGGTGTCAATGAAAAGGCTGTTGAGACTGGACTACCACACACTAGCAAACACGGCAAGAAGGGACAGGCAGACTTTAAAGGGCTTATGTACCGTCCCTTCTCTGACTCACGATTAAACTGAACACCCTGTTCGACCTGAACCCAGACCTCCTGAGCAGGATGCATTTACACTGAGGAAAAGCTCACCAGGACTCAGCACCGGGAGATCAGAGCAACATCCTGACTCACCGCTATGGAAAGTGCAAGGAGATGACTGTGCCATATAAAACACAGAGCGTTATTATACAGAACGGGTGGTAACCAGGGGTTTTTAGTCTCTTTCTAGTACAGGGCTGCTTGTGAATAAGATCATGCCTGGCAGTCTATGAAGGGGATGTTAGAAAAGCCCATGGGTGACTGCAGAGCTAAAAGGAAAATCACAATGCAAAAACTGACATTTTTCACCTGTGATTTCAAACTGACATGCAGAGCACTTCAACCTTTAAAAGGACAGTCCACACCAGTTCACAGAGAAGAAAATGCACATTTTGGTGCCTTTCAAGACACTGTGATCAACCCAGGTATGTCTGTGCATTCTGAGGAAGTGGGCCAATCAGTTAAGAGACCCATTAACATCGGGATACTCTGCCAAAGACCCGCTTTGGCCTTTTGGCATCTCGAGCTGCATTTGAACAATGGAAGACATCGTATTTGCCATCTCAAAGGCCTGGGCTCCTCACTCTAACTCCTCTAATGAGATAAGAGCTGGGAATTACAGACAACAGGAATCGACTTCCACACGAGACGGTCACAGCCTGCAAGGGCTCATTTGGAGAGGTAATTACTCGCTGCAGCTGGCCTCGTCTCCACACACTTTGCGGCTCACTGTTTACACAGCTCGTCGCTGAGAGAAAATCAACCTTGATTTCCACGAGTGCAGGCTGAAGGAGATTGTTTTTTTTTTTTTCCTGGCTGCAGCCCTTCAGTTTTGCACTAGCTCTGAAGAAGTGCAATGTGGAAAAAGTTCACACCTACTTGATGATAGCTTCATGGGAGCGATAATTTTCACACAGCAATATTCGGCAGGGGTAATCTGTAGGGTAGTGCTCGTACAGTCGGTCCAGCAGCGAAACGTGAAGGTTCCTTTCCCTGGCGAACTCGCTGTAGACGAAGGGGCTGAGCTGGAACACAAAAACAGGGTGCAGACAAGTGAGCAGTGCGACCGAGCCGGCCGCGCACACAGAGCCAGGTGATCTCGCAGGTCCCGCACGCATCCCCACGGCAGGGCGTAGCAACTCAACAAGTAAAGACCACATTCAGAACCAATGAAGGGTGACTGCAGAATGATGCACTTCTAATGCTTTTTCTTAACCCGTCTGACCTAAAATTGCATTTCTGCACTGTGTCAAATTAAATGCAACAGATTCACAGTTGCCTCCCTACTCCCAGACACTACAGACACTTTCACGCTTCTGAAATTGACTTCTTTGGGTGGACTCCTTACTAATGTGGCCTGCACAGATCTCGACCACATTTTATTTACAATACAAAATTTGTATGGTCACTGCACGTATTAATTTACGAGTGTGCATGCAGGTATGCAAACACAGATATGTAATTTGCTATGGATGCATCACCTACTCTCAGAATTCTGCACTGCAGAACAGTATTTAAGCACAGTGAAATCGCACTCTACTTAAGAGCTGATTACCTGTGAGCTGCTTTTTTAGCCTTCACACACTACGAAAGAGGAGCAGTGCAATGTTCACAGGCATCTCCACGCAGACAAAACCCCCTCACAGATGATCAGAGCTAAGACTAGGTTTGAATTTGTGGAATGGTTTTAATCTGTGGGAATATGTTCTAGAAAAGCCATACAACCCACAAGAAAATCCTGACTGTCATCATTGAGGGTCTGGAGACACTACATGACCGCCATCACCCAACTGCTTTGAAATGCAAAAGAAAGACATCAACTCTAGGGATTTACTGGAACAGCCCTGCTCTCTCATGCAAACCCAGCATGTCCACAGTTCCTTCGCCATCACCAGACAAGCCCGCCGGCTCAGGGAAATTTGGAAGGGCACTGCCCTTAAATATCAAAATCATCGCCATGGCGCACACACTGCACATCCTGTGTGGTTAACAAAGGAGAAACCCACCCAGACTTGGAGAGGTAAGAGGTTTAGGCTAAAACCGAAACCGTTACTACACTGGATTTTTATTTTCCGTGTGGGCAAACCGCACACTTATGAAAATGAATAAAGCAGGTAATTAACCTTCAGTCGGGTAACGGCAGGGGAAGAAGGCAGAGCTCTAGGAGTTAAACGCCAGGGGGAAACCTGCTGTCGAGTCTCCACCGCACACAGTCAGACCCACACACGGGGGCCCAGAGCAGCGTCGGGCCTGTGTGGCGCGCAGGGGCCAGAGCTGCGAGCGGGCGCCCTTACCTGCATGTGGTCTCCCGCCAGGACGATGCGGGTGGCTTTGCTGGCCAAGGCGAAAGGCATGATGGTCTCGCACTCCATGGCCTGGGCAGCCTCGTCCAGCAGAATGTGAGTGAAGAGACCTTAAGACATGAAGGATTAAAAGACGCGTTCAGGCCCACATTACTAATCACCACCTCTTTCAAAGGTACAGGCATCTATGCTTTTCCTGGGTTATCACAATGGGCAGGTCACTGCTGGTTAAGAAGAAAATGATAAAAATAATCTTCAGCACAAGTAATTAATCCCAATTTATGCAACAGCCGCTAAACTGAACTGCTTCTCACAAAGGACTTACATGACAAAGGCAGGGGCACATGGGATCAGTGGTTTCTTCTGGGGCAATTTTCTTTAGCTTCCCTACATGTTAGGTTTAGGCGACATGTTTTTCATATGCAGAACACTTCATGTAACTACTTTGTGTGCACTCTGTGTGGTGTCAATGGGAGAAAATCTTACTACATCCTTTCCTGTGTTCAGCACGCCGAAACGCACAGTTAGAAGAACGGCGCTTTTGATTTTCGCCCAGAGTCCTACAGCGGCAGTGTCTATCGCTTCTCATCACAAAGACTCCCCGATGGGGGGGACGCACGCATGCTCGGAGCTTTACTGTGCACGGGAGAACCTTTTGGAGACCCTGCAGGAGCCGGCAGCTTTTGCGGTGCAGCTCACTTTGAACCTCTTGCCACTAACGACAGGGACTGGAACTTAGCAGAGAGTCGGAGAAGTGTCTCGCGCGCGCTGTTAACGCGTTCCCAACTGTCCCAGCCGACCCCCTCAGCTGGGGGTAAAGTAAAGAGGACACCAGGAAGACGACGCCTTGCCACCCGCCCCAGCTCAGAGAAAGAGCCGTGCAGGGGGGGTTAACACCAATAACACCAAAGCCTGCGAGCTGTCTCCCTGTGCCCGCCCTCCCCCTCTCCACCCTGCCGCGCAAAGGAAGCAGCAGCTCCCAAATGTCTCATTTAAATCAGATCTTCATCAACGCAAAACTTACTGCTGGGGAGATGAGAAGAAGATAATGATGTAAAGAGCATTAGACAGGCAGATCATGTTTCCAAGCAACAGCAGACTTCTCCACTGACACATTCAAACCCAGCTATTTGCCTGCTCCACCAAACTGTGTTTTTTAATAAGTTATTATTCGTGTGAAGGCTCAAGCCAGAATCATTTCAGATACCTTATCTCATCCGAAGACATCTTGTTTTCTTTATTGCTCCCATAAGCAAAGTCAGGGTGGTGACAAATGTTTTATAACACTGATACAACCTTATGATTAGACCTGCTGGAACAGTCCTTAGGCTCCTCTGAAAATCAGAGAGAAGTGGTCTTTTTAAAACAGCATTAAGCTCGTGGCAATTATCACAATGCTGATGCTGAATACAAATGTTTCCAGAGGATAGTCACTTAAGTACTCATCTCGGCTGCCTTATTTCAATTCACAGAGGGCTTTAATTGTAAATTAAACAGTTAAGCATTAAAGTGTCTGTCATCTGGAAAATCTTATTTCAAATAAGTTACATTCTTTTAAATTAGACAGTGATAATCTGGTGCACAGATAAGATGGCCATGACTCTTCCAAACAAAGCAATTGCAGGACTGCACCAGGCCTTTAACTTCTGTATTAATCCTTAATTGTTTAACTGGTTCAGGTGCAGCATATCTTCAATTAACCAGATAACCTGGAGAACTTGCATCTCGAAATTTCAAATTCGCCAAGTCTTTGTGCACAGCCATCAGTGTAGTAGTAGTTGTAATATTATTAATAATAATATTTTCTTCACACTTATATAGCATGTTTTAGGACACTCCACTCAAACCTGTAAACTAAGAACAGCAATTTATTAACGACTGGCCTGTGAGCAGTGGAATACAGCAGTATGATATCAATAATTTTCCTACATATCAAAATTGCATGGAAGACGGCTGCCCAATCCTGATCCTGGAGAGCCACAGTCTAATATGCATGATATATGAACTTAATGGTTAATGAGCACGATTTATAAATCGTGTTCGATACCTCCTGGGGAAACAACAGATTGATCAATCAAGTCAAACTCGAAGAAGCTGAGGCTCTTCAAGACCTGAAGTGGACAGCTCTGACAGAAGTCAACCCAACAGCAACATGAAAGTGTTTAATTAGCAAAGCGCAGAAGATATTCCCATTTCACACATTCTAAATTGGACAAGTTCACGTGACGATGGACATCAGAGCAGAGCTTTATATTTTAATTTTGAATTAGCCCCCGATCAGCTAAGGGCTCCCTCTCACCTGGCTCCAGGTCCAGCTGACACAAGTACTGGGAGGTGCTGAGGGTGACCACCACCACGCGGTGCTTCTCGATGTCCTCGCGCTCTGGCATCTGGAAGGTGAACTGCGTGCTGGAGATCAGACAGTACTGCTGCACCACGGGATGCACGGTCTTCACCCACCTGTTTCGGAAATATACCCTACAAAAGAACAAACACAAAGACACAGGCTAAGCAACTCAAGGGCTCACTTGTTCTTAAAGAGCTTCTATATGAGTTTTTTCGTGCCAGAGGATCACGCGTAAAGGAGTACTAAAGTGCAGAGCAGCCCCCTTCCGGGGTGACAGACATCCCCCTTCCGGGGTGCCACACCACAGAGGCAGGAAGGAGAAACTGCTGCACCAGCTGAATTTCAGGAAGGCAGGAGTGCACAAGCCTCAGGTCGGACTTGAACAGGACACCAAGGTTACCGCCACTTCGAACAGAACTACGGGTCCTTTAAGTCATCAGAAAGCCAGATATCTTTTGCTGACAGAGAGGTGTTGCAGGTTCCACCTTCCTTTCTTTGCTAACACTATATTTTAAGGGCAGTTAATTTAGCACGATTGCCTTGGGAACTTTGCACACATCTGTAATGACAAGAAAAAAAGTCTGGTGTAAATTCAGATGAATTCCTGAAGGTGAGCTGGCAATCAGCAAGCTTATGAATGTAATCAATTATCATTTCCTAGCTCTCATTATAAGATGTGAAACATTTGAGTTTAAATGTTCAAGTGTGTATGTGTAGTAACACGATATATAAAAACTATTTTGACAGCTAACTGTCTAATATTTTAAATACAGCTAATATAATTAATTTATATTTTAAAACCAATGAAATACATCGGAAAGTGCTCTGATGAACACAAGGGATGCCGAGTTAATGAACTCGACCCCCTCAACGCTTTCTGCACCACTGCATGATAACGGCCATCTGCTCGGCTCTTTAAAAGATTTGCAAACAATTGGGAACAAAGCAGAAAAAGACGCCACTCGACTGAGCCTAAAGTGACAACGATCCAGTACTGGAAAAAAATAAAACGATGCAACTCTGCCTTGGAAATCACCGCCGAGACATTCCGGTCCAAACGGAGCTGGTGAGCTGGAGCGTGCCGGAGAATTCAAAAGACACAATCTGGGCAAAAGGTTAACCCACTCACAGGACAAGCGATCGGTCATTTCTGAGTGAAGACAGAAACTGGCTCAAGCAAGCAGATGTTATTGCATTTCTGTAACAATATTGATTTCTGTAAAAAAAAACGGATAATATTGCAGTGGAAGTTTACCTGCGGCAACAAACAGCATGGCAAGGGATTATTGGAGGGAAAAGGCGATTCCGTGCCTTGATGATGGATGATAATCTATTCCAGCACCCCGAGATGAAAAACTGCCAAACCTCAAGAGGCCAGACTGGACTCTCGGAAGAGCCCGAGATTCCCATAATTTACGCTTCGCTTCTCGTGTCAGCTCTGTCCTACATAGCAGCTTGACATGAAAAGTGCACAGAGTGCTGGAGCGCTTAAAACGAAGAGAAGAAACTGCCCACTTAAGTCGATCTTCTAGCCTGTCCGTCAGCCACACGGCAAATAAAGACTGATGAGAGAGACGGGCTGTTGAGCCCCAGCGCATCAGTCCAGCTAGGCCGTGTCCAGACCAGACGCCTCTGCTAATATCCAGCTCAGTTACTGGTGATATCTCACAGTGTTCTCTGACCCCCCTGCCGTGTCCCAATGAGGACAGCTCCGTCTCCAGGCATGCAACATAATCAGAGCTGACCACAGGGGTGAAAAAATGATGAAAGATGTGTGTGCTTAAGCTTGTTGCACAAATGAGGACAAATTAGTTTTTTTTTGGGGGGGATTTACATGTTATACCCATCCGATTTGGAATAGCAGAACCAAGAACCTCTCAGCTGCACACTGGGGGATAATGAGGAAGTTTAGACAGACTCTTCCGACCCGCCTACCTTTGGAGGCTCAGCACTGATTGGAGGAGTGGCATGTCACTCACTGACAGCTCCATGTCACTGTGACACTGGCAGGAGAGAGCGTCCTGTCCAGCCTTCCCCACCTTACTGTTGGCAGTGCACAGCCAGCCGTGCATCTGAGGAATCCCAGTCACAGTTGGCGAGTGGCATCGCCCAGGATCGAACCCGTGACCAGAGAGAGCTCAGCCTTTGCTGGGGGGAGCATCTTTACAGGTTGAGCAATTCGGGATGCCCCCGGACGAATGACAAGCTAAGAGGCCTCCAGAGTCAACCGTGACTGTGGAGAGGAAAGAGACTGCACAGACGAGGGAGGGGGGATAGCCCCAAACTATGAACATGAACATTTCAAATTTAGTAGCTCCAGGCAAATGAACACCGTGGAGACTGAAAGAATGAAATCAGTAAATGTCTCAAATGTCCTGGGATCCCCCAACAGAAGCTAAGTGACTCTGGTTATTATTCCATGCAATGGACTGCTTTCACACCCCCCCCCCCAGGGCAGGGAGAGAGCTCAGTGCCACAATACTGTGATCCAGGATCTCGAGAGAGAAATTATAGACCAATGTTGGTGTCACAGGCTATTATGCTCAGATAACTGGAGACAGTAAAATGGTTCATAGTAATCTTAAAATCATGACATCAGTACATCTAAAAACACACGCATATTAACACATCTCAGCCTTATCGGAAAGCAGTGACATCGCCCACAAAGACCTCCTCACTTACTGAACTGAAGTCCATTCAATTAAAAACGGCCATGTCTGGGACTTCTTTCAAGTTCACAACAAGGGTCCAGGTCAATTAAAATGAAAACCATATGAACTGCTGGAGCAATAAGTTACCAGAATGACTCTCAGCCCAGTCACATTTCATTTACCCCAAACCGCACACCAACAGACTACAGAACAAGAGTCAATCCTATCCCAGGCAAAACTGGAAAAGAGATTTTTAAAAAATGTAAACAACAGCTTTTCTGTCACGGGACAAATTTATAGAATTCAAGCCCCAGCCCACCCTGGAGTGGAAAAGCAGCTTATTGCTGTTACAGAACCCCAGCAGGGGCAGAAAACAGATGCACAAAGAACCCCAGCTATCACACCCGAGCCTGGCGGCAGGAGAGACGGCCATCTCCAGCTCCTCGCTGGACCCCGAGACAGCACAGGAAACCTCACCCCCAGAGCAGTACCCCAGGACACAGGCATCCCGCTTTCCACAGAATCTCGACAGGTTTAACAAGATTCCCACAGTAAAAAACAAATGAACAGGCAGTACAAATCAGAGATTCACACATCTTTTCCTCCCCTAAGACATACTATCTGAATTCTGAGGAGACAGCACCATTGGGGGTGCACAGAGGGAGTGTACGAGAAACATCTGTATGGGTCACAGTCCAGCCCCCCTCCCCACAGCTGACCACCTTACGGACAAAATGACAGTGGTTTCAGGAAGCTGTGGTTCTGAGAGTGTGCGGGGTCACCTGTCCGTACCTGAGAGGCCTGGCGTGCGGATTGCCTGCTTCAACGTGCGGATGAAGATAGTCCTTTATGTACAGGTCAGCAGCGCTGTTAGAATGGGTACAAATCAGGATCCTGCAACAAAATGCGAACACAGGGATTCAGTTAATAAACCCAGCGCAGCTCTCACCTGAAGACCTGTGCACATTTTCTGAATCGAAGCAGCGGAGGCAATTGGAAAGACTCACACTTCACAGACTCTCCATTACCTTTGTCAAGAAGGCCACTTCATGAAGTAAAAACCTCAAAAAAAAGTCATGAGATGTAAACGCTAAAGCCTTTATATTCTAACACCTACGAGACCTACAGGGGATTTCTCTAAAACCTGATCAAATATTGATGCATCACTCTTCTGTTAAATGCCCTAGCTGTGTTGTTTGGTCATTAATGCACCAATCTTATTGAAAGTGGCGTCTTGAAAGGCCGCTCTGTGGCCAATATTCACACAGTGAGTGGGTCTCTCCAGTTAGCCTTTTCTGCCTACACAGGAGGTATTTTACTTTTCATTTAACATGTCGACACGCACATACATTGACAGGAATTAATATTAAAAAATGTTTCCCATTTTTTAGTACATGTTAAAAGCAAACGGATTAATAATTAAATGCAAAGAAACTACTTTTTTTTTAATCCGGTGAAACCAGTCTCGTGCAAAGCCTCTTTATGAGAGGGCAAATTCATCCTTTCACCCCAACATAGGGAAAAATATTAAGAGGTTCCTAAAGAAAGACAGTGGGAAGTGAGCCTTCTATAAACTGAAATCTAAACAGATTTTTTAACTAAGTGATACTGTTTTTAAGATGCACCATAATAATGCAGCATTGCTACTTTGGTTTTGATCCAAACACCTTAATAATACTGAACAACGTGGGGTTCTTTGGCAGATCTTCCGAATTTGCCTTAGTAAAACTCTCTCAAATATTAAAGTTCCCAGTTTTTGTTTTAAGCCCAGTGCCACCTGCATGTCTACCCAGAGGCCTGGATGCTTATCTATTTAATGTGATAACTCTCACTTAATTAGCTGTTCAAGCCTTTTATATACCTTTGCACGGTTTTATTTAGTCGGGGAGAGAGCTGCGTCTTTGAAGCTTTTCCGATACACTCTGTTGCATTTGCACAAAGGGGAGTGATGACTCAATAAACCGTCGCCTTCCGTGAACACATTTAATTTCTAAATTCCTAATCCTTGGCAGAAGTGCTTTTAGCTTTCAGCAGGTGGAGAACAAATTACGAACTGTTAAGTCCTTAAATATTCTGGAGAGTTAACAGCACAATTTAAGACCAAAACAACTTTCGATTTATGTTTGACTTTCTGCACCCATAATCAAAATGGCACAAAAGAGACAAGCCTAGATATCGTGCAGATAAGCCGTATTTACAGTGCTTGGCAAACACCTCAGAAACAGCAGTTACATTACAAGCATCAATAATTTACTCAAAGCCTCCACTAACACTCCACTACTAAAAATAAAAGGCTGCTTCCTCTACTACAAAACACAGGTCTATCAGGACGAACTTTCACCTTAAAACAGGCTGTGATTGCAGTGCATTAGAACCGTGTTTCTGTGTAAAGGAGAAACTGAGTGACGAGAGCAGAACAGTGCATCACGTCTCAGACTTCGGCACAGCAGTGTAAAAGGATACCGATGATGATTACAGAAAAACATCTTGAAGTCCTCCTCTGTGGATTTACAGCGATATAGCTCAGTTCTGGAAGAACCAGTGGCTCACTGGGCAAGGAGTTATCTTTGCTTCCACAGTAATAAGAGAGCACACCTTAAAGGGACCCGGGCTCGCTGCAGACTAACCCTGGCAATACAGGACCCTGTTTACAGAGCAGGAAGCCTGAATCAGCCCTAAACCCTACGGTCTACAATGGGCACTCAAACTCCTGACCTGGAGCAAACGGGGAGAAAGACGGCTCACCTGGTGTCCTGCTGCTTCAGTATGTGCTTGACAGCCTGAGCCAGAGTGAAGGTCTTCCCTGTCCCATAGGGACCGATGATGAGCACCGGGGGCAGCTGGATGGACAACGGGGTGGTGATGGCCAGAATGGCTTCCTTCTGCTTGGCGTTGAGGCGGGGGTCCAGCTGCTCGTCCCACTGCCTGCGGGGGGCACACGGGACAGTGGAGCTCACAGAGAGCAGGTGACCGTGCCCCGAGATCAGACCCCCCCCGATGCACTGTCTCAGTTCCCTAAGCCCTGGGGGACGCCGACCGGGGGTCAGTACGAGACCGGGCAGAGGCAATTCAAGCCGCAGGACGTCCGTCTGGCTGCTGCAGCTTCCGAAGATTAGCCCTAGCCCTATCCCCTGCCCCTTGCCCCACGCAACACTGGAAAACACTCAGACTGCTAATTGGAAAATTATTCACTTTAAAAGGTTACGCACACAGAGCTGCAGTTTCACAACGCTGGCTTGTTACCGTGGTACAGCTTTTAATAAGGGTTTTATGACAGAGTTACGTAACAGTTTATATTCATAATAAATGAAAGAGCCGGCAGACAGAAAAGCATGAACTCCGCCCAGCGATGCAGCACTAGAAACCTTTGGCAACATCTCTGCAGGAACTTTAAATTGGTTTTTTGCTTTCACACTAATTAGCACAAACAAATGCTCGAGAACGGCCTCAGAGAACCTATTATTGTAAAGTGCGTAGTATTTGCAAAGTAATGATGATAGTTCTCCTCTGCAAGACAGGAACAATTTCTAAACAGCTGGAAGTGACAAATTTGCTATGCCTTCAAATGCACTGGGCACCTCAGGTGTGGAGAACTGCTCTGGAACGCAAGAATCTCAGCAGCAGCATCTGTCGTCCCTCAGGCAACACTTAGCAGCTACACTCATCACATGCACGCTAGGAGTATTTACCAAGAGCAATCACAAAGATGCTCTTGCACGTTCATCCTGGAAGATTCAACTTCTGCAAGTTTAAATCAAGGGTAATCTATGAAAATACATCTAAATAAACCAAGAGTCATTCTACATATATGGGTGTGTGCCTACTTAAGAGGACTAAACCCAGAAGAATCAAGAAATATCCGACACACTGGATGAACTTCATCCAAAGCTACTCAGTAATAAGGCTTTCCTGCTCCCTCGTGCTACTGAGATGTTAAAGAAGTTAAAAGTGAAATTGAAGCTTAAAAGCCATGAACTGCCTCAGCACTCCTACTGAACAGCAGATTATGCAAACAGTTTAATTATCTTGTCTGTATTTCCAGGGGCTGCTGGCGGGCTGTGTTGCTGAGGCTGATGACTCGCCTCACTGTCCTCTTTAAGCCTGTTGTCTTTGGCTCTGCACCCTAAAATATGTCCAATGGGCTGTTCATTACATAGTGGGAGTGACAGGCAGAAAAAGTATATAAGCAAATAGTCCTCTGCAACAGGTTCTCAGTAGTTACTCCAAAGAGCTGGAGCCGAGTCACAGAACCATCCAGCCAGTCTTATCTTCAGAGACAAGGTGGCTTAAGAGTACGTTTAGGAAAAACTGACATCACACCACTCGAGTTCCTGTCTCGAGGCGAGGACTCTGTATTATACAACATTCCTTGCCCACACTCACTTTATTTTTGTGGTTTCCTACGTAACACAGTGAAAACAACAAAAGCCACATCTTTCATGGCAGAACTTCATTTCAGACCGGGGTTCGAGCAGAGAGATGCCAAAGATGCAAATCAAACCAAAACTCTCTCAAGCCTGACTTTTATATCCACGTTATAGGTTCAAAAGATGCAAATAAGAAAATAAATAAAAAAAAACACGTCCACCCCCCCTAGAACACAGAGTATTCTATTACAGGGTTAGTTTTGTTTTCTCTGCACCAGGCAGGCAGTTAGCAGAAATGATGAATCAGCAAACACGAGGTTGAGGATTCAAAGGTTATGGTCCTACTGTGGGGAGGAACGATCACAGGCTGTATCTTGGGATGCACTGAGGTAAGACATAGGGACATTGTTGATTCATCTAGGAAAGACCAAGCCCTCATACACGCACCCCCCCGGGGAACACCTGCTCCCACCTGCGGTCGGCATGCGCTCGGCGCTGGACGGTACCTGTTGGGGCTCCAGGGGATGGTGGGGGTCAGGCTGGTGTCGGGGAACAGGATGCCGTTATCCTTGATCCTATCCAGTGCATAGTGCATCTCGCAGAGGGGCAGGCGGTTCAGCTGGAACTGCAGCTCCACCTGTCGGGCACAACAGCAACGTCAAGTCCCTCCCGCCGGCTCCGAAGCCTGAAGCAAGTCCTTTGCAATGACCAAGTCTCTGCTTTACCGAGCGTCACACTGGGAATTCCTTATGCACTCACATCAGATAGACATGTCACACTGTTGTCCTTATAAACACTAGAAAAATACCCACACAGGGCGTATGGGAATAGACAGGCTGGCCAGAGACCTTTGTTCCCGGACTGTTAAATGAAGACGATGAACACCACAGACTTATCGTGTTTAAAAACCAGCCCACATCCAACATATTAACTTGCGATTTTTTAAACCTTCAAATCCTAATGTTGGGAGCAGGAACACCAGATTGACCTGACTTTGATGCAGCCGACGAGGGATCCAATTTTTAAACACGGAGAGGCATCGGAATTTAGGGCCATCCCTCCTGTCCCACGAGCGTGCCACTTCTCTTTGTAGGCCACGCTACAGACACTCTGCCCCGAAACGATGAAGAGGCTGGGAGAAATCTACCGCCACAAGTTGCTTAAAGACCTGGATATCAGAAAAGCTCCCAGATGTGAGCTCTCACACTATCGCACCACAGGTGGAGTTGTGATTAGTTTAGTCTCCAGCTTCTAAAACACGAGGCGCTTTGATTCTCCTGCACTTTGGCTTCTCCGTGTCTAAATAACAGACAACAGTGGCCTTCACCAGCGGGTAATTGGCTACTCAGAGGTCAGTTTTGCCATTGAGACAAAAAGAAAATGCCACTCTCGAGCAAAATAATCTGTCAGATTAATCTCCTGTCTTTTAAACTTTTTTAAATCGTTTTCAGAGCAAGGCTTGCGAAGGCATGTAACCTTTCCTAACTTGGAATCGATAGTGCAGTCTTTCACCTTCAAGTCCTTAAAGCCGGCTTTTAAAAAAATCTGTGCTTAGCAGATGCAGAGCAAGGTTTTTCAATTCTGAAGAACCAAACCATCTGAAAAGCTGCTGTGCATGAATGGAACCAGTAACAGCAGCCCTACAAACCAGAGCAACAACAGTTAGCTCCTGGCACACCTTTTCTGACAGAGCACCAACAATGGATATGAAACGTCAGTGGAGTCACTTTCAAAAGTCACTGAAAGTTTTTTATTTTTAATTATTTCTCCTAAAAATGATCCATGTGTTTTTCCACTTATTGTCCTATTAAATGTGAAAAAAAGGTCTGACGTGATTTGTCTTGATTTCAGCCTTTACGTCAACAAAAGCTGAAATTTCAGGAAGGGTGTGTAGACTTTCGATATCCTCTGTGTTTTAAGATGTCTCTGCCAATCAAAGCTCCCAGCATGTGCGCTGCTCTGGCCTGCACCAGGGTGGGCAGCGGGACCCGCAGTGGCTGATCAGGAGCAGGCCTCCATGTGTGACGGCACAGCAGTTCCACTCAGTGGGGGCCTGCAGCAGCTCCAGGTTTTACCGAAAGGGGGAGCAGCACGCTACAATGCCCAGGCCATGCTTCGCTGGTTTGCCTCCACGAACTGGTTTTGCACTATGCTTGAGACCCAGACAAAAGGGCTAAAATGACCCAGCTAAGCTCATCCGGATCAGCGAAACCCCCTTCCTCATGTCCTCCTCTCGGGACCCGAGGACTGCACGCGTGGGAAGCACTGGTACGAAAAAAAAGGCTCATATGAAACAAGACAAGACACTCATTCTGCACCCACTGCACAGCAGCAGGCCCAGATCCCTGGACACCTCCACCACCCCGGAGACTCTCTGGCGCCTTGAGCTGCGCTCATAAGACACATCACGACAGCGCCGGGACCCCAGCCTTCAGGGCTCTCGTTCCTTCCCAGCTCGTCTCCCCAGAGGGCCGGTTACCTGCAGCTCGTGGTCGGCCTGCAGGCCCAGCTCCTCGCAGCAGTCCCTGCACACCCTCAGGAAGATGTGCTCCTTGGTTTTCTCCTCGATCACGGCTTCGTACACCTTCTCTTTGGTTCCTGACGCCTGCGCCCTGCTGTCCTTGCTGATCGGCAGCAGCAGGACAGAGTTGACTTTGGTCATCACCAGGCGGCCGGCCAGCGTGTCTTCGGACAGCGTCTCGGTCAGCTTGAAGCGGCCGAACAGCTGGCCGTTCTGGGCGTACTTGGCCCCCCCAGCGATGCCGGTGAGCATGAAACTGGCGACGAGCTGCAACTGGACTTTGATGTTGAACCTGGAAGGAAACAGAAATGCGTTTTATCAAGTCATCTGTGCGCTGCGCTGAAGAGCAGGGGGGGGGGGAGGAGGAGAGAGACTTGTACTCGTTGCAGCTGGATTTGCGGACAAGAAGTGTCCGGAGCCTGAACTGGACTGCAGATCCGCTCGTCCACAAGCCGACCACCTGTTTCCCCTTCACGAATGGTCAATGCTTAACTCACGGCAAGACCATGACCATTGAGAACGTCAAGAAGAAACCAGATGAGGAACTGAAACTTGTGGCTTTTAAATGCCTTCTAGGCACATCTTAAAGGGAAAGAGAATCAAGAAAAAAGGCCATAAATAATGGAAAATAAAGTCCTGGAACAGACAGCAATAGTCACTTTCTCTTATTGGATTTCCCAGAAGGTTACTCCTGTGACTTCTGTGTAATCGGGTTTGTATCACTCTAATAACTTAATAAGTCTGCTGGTCCGCTTCAGATATTTTATAAGAAATAAACATAAAAATCCCTACCGAGCAGCAGGTGCTGCATTAGCAATGAAATTGCAAATCATTTCCATTTTAAAAGAAATGAATTCTATTCTAATACAAATCTCAAACCATCTCAATTCTCAGGAGACACCTTTAGGACATGCATTATTAAAATGCTTAAACTGCACCCTCCCACATCCACCATACTCTCTCTTCTGCTAAAAAAAAAAAGAGGTGCTCTCCTCAGTTGAAGAGCTACCCTGCCACCTAGTGGACATGAAGTACACGCAGCAATCAGACGTTCATAATCGTACGTATTTTCCCAAGAAGCTTCCAGAACTGAACATCGCCAGCACCTTGTTGCAACAAGTTTTCTTGTGCAGTACCTTCACCTGAATATAAAAAGTGAGCACGTCACATAAACATGCAAAAGGTTTCCGTCTTTTTGTTTACTGAGGTGCTTTACAGAATGTCAATAAACCATCAGATTCTCTGTAAAAACACTAAGTTATAGATCATAGAAGAGTGTGTATAAGTACAGGAAATGCATTAAAAAAATCCAAACTGGAAAAGCATCAACATGACCAGCAGACTGCCACCGCGAGATGGGAGGAAACACTGTGGAGTCCCCCGGGAGCCCAAGCAGTACCCCTTCCAGCGCTCCGCCGCGGTCACCCCAACGGGGCAGGGAGTCCCCAGTCGGTTGCAGTCACCCCCGGGGGCAGGGCTGCTGTGGTGAGCATGGGGTTTGTACAGTCCTAGACGTTCCCCCCACCACCACCACCACGACCGAAACGTTCC